TGTCTTAACGTTTCTACTTACAACACAATAACACTTATATTACTATAGAAAGTCTTAACGTTTCTACTTACAACACAATAACACTTATATTATCATAGAATGTCTTAACGTTTCTACTTACTACACAATAACACTTATATTACTATAGAATGTCTTAACGTTTCTACTTACTACACAATAACACTTATATTACTATAGAATGTTTCAACATATTTCACTCACATTTTTCTTAACTAACCGATAAGAATAACATTTTAAATACATCAGCTTCCTCAGTCAACTTGTCATCATACATATAAATACTCACCATCCATTAACTGTTCCAGGCGGATTCTTTCATGGACAGCATGTTGGTCAAACAAAACTAGAAGATCTTGGAAACAAAATAAAGATCTCAACATTCTAACGAATGAACGAAACATCACTATGTAATAGGTTAATTATTTCCAATTCACATAAATCAAAAGCAGATACCACTAGTATACCTGTTTTATTGTAAACATAACTGTCAAATAAGTGACACATAGGAAAGCTTTAAGCATCTGGTTTGACTTTTCACCAGGCATGGTTGGGAGCAACTGGAAGCTATTAGAAGCATTGAACTGTAATAGTATAAAAGCACCTTAACAACAGAGAGGGTTATATATCAGACCCATGAGATTAAGTAGCAACTGTGTAACTTACTCACACTACACAGCGATATTGGTATCATATAAAACAATGAAATAAAAAAGTTACAGAAATAAATGTTCAAAAATCCTTAATATTATTAGGATAATATTTTTTATATGTATGTATGTATGTGTTCTCTAAAGTTAAACATAAACTTAAAAATGTATGAATCTTGTGCTATTTAAAGATCTGGAAATCCAAAGCTACTCCAACTTCAAAGTGTTCTTTTATAAAGAAATTCTTTCTGCAGTAAAATAGGTAAAAAGATTATATAAAATAGCATTAAGCAGAGTTCTTGTAAACACATAGCAACTGACAGAAAGAGTACTAGTAAAATTATCTAGATACGTTCTTTGTTGTTATATTGTGTAGTTTGAATATCTGAGTTCATTGTTACATAACCTGTTACTGAAACTTGAATCCTCTTTGGAAAGCATAATACTATAGAAGAACTAAAACACATGCAGTTGTTGTGATGTAAATAAATTAAATGCACTGCAATGGTTAAACGTTATAAAACACCTCAGTTTGAGAGAGAGTCTGGAATATGTAACCAATCTGTAGCAGTACTTCTTGCATGAAGAATTTTTTAGCTATATAATTCTTAAATAAATATAAAATATATAGTACGACAACTTTTAAAATGGATAAAAATGGACTCTAACAGCTCATCAGCTGATATAATACCATCTAATGATCAGCAAGTATTAGCAGAATTCCTGCACGTAGTGTTTGGAAATGAAACAACCTTAAACACGTTCTATGGGCATAAGTAACAACTCTCGAGAAACTCTGTGATAGTATTTTTAAGTATTTCAAGAATGATAATTAATCATGAACCAGTTAGAAGCATGTCAACTTCACAGTGATTTTTACATATGATATCAGTAGTGTTTGTTGAATGATTTTCATAATCACAACACTATCATTGTCACTTAACTCAGCAGAACATGTAGTCAGCAATTGACAGTACAACTCCAAAATAAATTAATTTCTGTAACTTGATGTATATACTTAACACAGCACATAAAGTTAATAAGAGAACAATACCTACATAAATAATTGGCTATTACATTTTCATCAAACTGAATAAGATAACAAAATCACAATGTGTTGAAATAAGCTTTATTGTAAACGATTATCATTATATTACAGGTTGGTTGCCTAATATGATTGAGCTCTATTGGCTGGTATTAAAAATTTTTGAGGTTCCTTGAAAATAACAAGACCATATAAATACACTAGACATCTTTTTTGTTCACAATTTTACATAACAAATCTTTGGTTATTACTATTTAATGTAATATTTGATTACAAACACCAAGGTTCTTTTATTAAAATGGATATAACAATGAATAAAAAATAACAAATGCCTCCAGATAAAAATTAAACACTTGTAAGTATATAACTAAATATTTAACTGTTATATTAATGATGTTTTTAATGTGTTTCTCTCATTGGTTAATTATAGGCTTACCTTTGGCTAGTGATTGTTGAGAGGATGGTACGAGACAAGCTATGAATTTATTGTCCACTTGTCCCACAACCTAAAACAGGTCAGAACAGAAACTTGAATACTTTGTATTCAGTCAGGAAACAAGTCAACATGAACACAGATACTGAACACATCTGTAATGTAAAAACATTATAGTAAATACAGATTAACAATGTGATTATTTGGAGTGATTTACATACAGGCTAAGAAAGTCACAAAGGAAGTGAAAATGTGAGTCTCCATTTTGATGAGTTTTTTTGTTATATTTATGCAAATTCAAGACAAAGAAGATTTCTAAGATATTACAGACATGATGGAATTTACAAACCATGCCACACACGTGAGCTTCATACAACGTCGTGCAGGATTTACGTAGTTAATCATCAAATTAAAAACATTTATAAAATTTGGTTATAATATTTATCAATACACTTGACAAACTCTGATAGATATTTCATTAAATGCTCATTTTCAAATAATTTATAATACCACTGAGAACCTGAATTGCATTACTGGAATAAATATGTTTTGTCATATTTATATCCAAGTTAATCTACTTACAGTAAGTTAAATGAAAGCATGTTTTTTCAAGATTGTAAATGTGTAAACATACACAAAAACAACATATAACAGTAAACAAAGAATAATGAGCTGATCAGTAAATGGGCAGATGTGTACAAGCAGCTTTGAATTGAAAATAAGACAAGTACAACAGAGTTTAATTGTAAAAAGTGCAAAAAAGCTACATTGAACAATTATACGTCTGCATGGAAAATAACACTAAAAGTAGACACATTAACTAAACAAGAAATAACTAATGACTATGAACTGGCTAGCTTTACTACTTAAATAAGAAACTAAGAGAATAATTTCTATTTACTATAAGATTTTTAGTTTAGTGTAGGCCCTGTAGTTTAAATTATTTCTTTGAGTTTCAAAATTGAAATGTTCCACATTCTAACTTAAAACATGATAAATTTATAATGAAATCATTCAATGAATGTACTCACACAAAAATTCTGAAATATAAACTTTCCAAATCGATATGGCCTAATGATATTATATACTTGAGTCACGTTCCTTGGATGTTGTTTCAAACTGATGTTGCACACTTCCTACAAGAAAAACAAAAAAAATTTTACTGGAGTATTTTTATAAGAGAACCAACAACATATTAAAGCTACAGCTAGATATATTTTCTCCACATAACACAGTTTTTACTGGAGTATTTTTTATAAGAGAACCAACAACATATTAAAGCTACAGCTAGATATATTTTCTCCACATAACACAGTTTTTACTGGAGTATTTTTATAAGAGAACGAACAACATATTAAAGCTACAGCTAGATATATTTTCTCCACATAACACAGTTTTTACTGGAGTATTTTTATAAGAGAACCAACAGCATATTAAAGCTACAGCTAGATATATTTTCTCCACATAACACAGTTTTCGAAAGGACTACAAATTAAAAACAAATCCAACTGCTCAGTATTTGCACGGCAGCTTTATCATCTCCACCTGCAAAATCTTATACAGTAGACAATGATGACAAGAGAGAGGCCAAGAGATGACAGGAGGAGAAATGTAAAATAAGAAAAGAAGAGCAAACAAACAAAAAGCTGGGTTGGAATGACTGTATGGAAAAGGAAGGATGAATGGAGAAAACATCCAAACACTCTCCCAAGTTTGGGTGGTCAGAGACGTAAACAAACCTGTCCCTGTGATAAATAGTGTGGGAGGAGACCAAGACAAAAGAGGGAAAGGGAAGAAATATGTCTGAAACATATAAAGGAGGTTGAACAATACAAAACACAGAGTAGCCTCAGCCAGAGCTGTAAAATTTGAGATTGGATACTAAATGAGAGGGAGCAAGAACTGAAGGGGAGGTGAAAATGCAATGATGATAGGATGCTCACAGTGGAAGCAAATCCACTGAAAATCCACCATGGGAAACGTACAAGTTTAGATGAGATATATGATTGGCCGTCAGGGCCCAATTGTTTGAGACATGATAGATTTACAACTAAGTGTGGTGGTCATGGGCCCCAAAAGAGAAAATGCAAAGCCAGTAAAAGAGAAGTCCTATGTATCACTTCTCATTTTTAAGAGAAGGAAGAAACAACAGAGGTATCTGAATGCATCTTAAGAAGACCAGAAGAGATGGAAGATGATGACAAGGCTGTGAAGTAGCCACCAGCTTGAGGACCTACAGACAGAGAAACCTCATTCCTGAAGACTATATGCTGGAAATGAATCAGGCATTCAGAACTGGACCCTACCAGAACAGAGGCAATGGAAAGGCGTAGTCATAGGATTGCCTGTCATCAAGTGCAAAGCCAAGACAAAGTGAAACCCATGATATGCTCACCACGAATATGGAAACTTACATACGTAAGTGAAAAAAGCCCACAGTCTGACTTCCAAGCCTTGGAGAGTTTCAAACAGGTGCAAGTCAGGGTAAGGGGGAAATCTAGGGATCGAGATAGGATAGGAAACCACCGAAGGGGATACATATGGGCCCATCCAAGAGGAATGAGAGGTTACCTGTTTTAACCTCTCGCACCACTATACAGTAATGTGTTGTCTGTCAATTATTCAGTAGACACTAAAATGATGTCACTTAGGGGATGCCTTAACGTAGCAATTTGTACTGTCATGATGTCAGTAAAACATGCACATGCCATGAATCACAAGAAGAATTATTCATTCTGTTGCCTACAACACAGCATGATATATGAACTTGAAAAACTAGAAATAAAAATATTTGTTACTCTTAATTCTGGTTTTATTACTTTTGAAACAGAACACTTGGGGACCCTGCAGAAGTACATCTAGTTCTATTAAATACTTGAATGTATAAAACTAAGAAAAAAATTTAAAATGCTTACAATCTAATAGAAGGTTAAATGTAATCTCTTTTCTGTGTTTTCAAATATATCTCTTTGGTTTTCTAAAAGAAAGCAAAACTATTTGATCATATCTTTTAATTAGATCTTCATATATAGACAATTTGTTGGGGGAAGTACACAACAAATTACAACTTTTAAAACTCAACAGAAAAGGGTAAACATTGGATCCATAACATGCAAAAAACTCCATCTCCAAAATATCAGTTTAGGTGGATAATTGTAACAAGGATGACAAAAATGCCAATGATTCATTACCAGTCTACTTCTGAATGGACAGAAGATAACCAATTAAAATAGAAGTTATTATTTTCCTATAATGTAAATAGATTTCCGATAGGTACTTACCTCCCCTCACATATATATATTCTTGTTCAGTGTTGCCCTCTACCGTACTTATATCTTCTCACACTTACAACCCTTCCTCCCAACTGAAAACTAGTGCTTACTTTTCTGCCTAATCTTGAAGTCATAGTTCAGTAGAATCGAATAGAGGGAGTCACATGCGTCAGAAGGGTGTGTCACACTCCTATTGGTGGTGGGTTGTCACAGTTGAACTACTTTGATTGTGGGAGTTCAAGGCTTGTGGCATGTGAACATTTTTTTTGCAACTAGAGGGCAGCACTGAACAAGAATGAATGAGTGAAGGTATTGTACTGTATCAGAAAATATCTTTGTTAACAATCTTGATTCACATTTTACTGATCTGTCTGATTATAAATTGATGTATAAAATGAGAGGTGTTTTTTTTAGAAATTAAAGACTAAAATATATATATTGATAAATTATTTTCAATTGAACTAAACTTTCTATTATATAAAAAAATAACAATTGATAAAATAAACAGCTAGTGTACATATTCTGAAAGCAATGTTTAATCATTAATTTACAGGCTTTTGGAACTGAAAAAAGATTGGAGGACAGTTTTCGGGATTAATATAAAAGAAACTTTAATGAAAATTATTGATGATAACATCTACAAAATTTTGCCTTATGATGATAAATGCATTCCCACCTTTTAAGTCAACACAAATACACAACTTTCATGTTTGGCTTTTATCTTAACCACTGGAAATATGATGGTGACGATAAATACCATAAATGTAATTTACATGCTGTCTAGCCACTCATTTTTAAACCAAAGTTAGCTTAGAAAAGTTTGAAAATACATTGCTTTGACAATTAAATCATTTTATCTTTTGTAGGGGGCTTTATATCTTTTGTATGGGGCTTTATATCTTTTGTAGGGGGCTTTATATCTTTTGTAGGGGGCTTTATAGTTAAGAGATTTGTTGAAATAGTGTCTGTGGACATTAAAATTATTTTTGTTCATAATCCTGCTGGACCTGGCACGGACTGGTGGTTAGGGCACTTGACTCACAATCTGAAAGTCGCAAGTTTGAATTGCCATTTCCGAGCATGCTCGTCCTATATGACTACTGACTGAGCCAACCACCTGGCTGTAAACATTTTTGGTTTACAAAAATAAAGGTCAACCCAAAACTATTTGGGACAGAGTTCATAACAGGTGAAAAAAATACTGCTGCCACACTTGGGCAGCTGTGTGAAAGTAACTGATAATTTTGTGTGATCAATGGGAAATCCACAGAGTAATATTTATTGTGAAGTGTAAATTGATTTGATAAGTAGATTTTTTTCCAGTATTCAATAATGCATAAAAAAGGTGGGTTTAATATTAAATTACAGATTTTTACTTTGTTTATAGCTCTCATATAACTATTGAAAAAAAAAGAAATAGAAGTACTTGAAACAAAATATGCAACTAATCCACAACCAGCCATAAAGGATTTTTCTTTTTCATTAAAGTATTCATCCAATAAAAGTCTAAGCAGTTCTGCTTGTTAGCCATCATGATAAATACAAGCAAATGATTTTATAAGATATTTCTTTCACACAAAAATAAAAGAATTCACCTAGAAGAACGTCGCTCATATTTAAACAATGTATCTGGTAGATCTAAACTGAACGGCATCTCGTGTGACACGTAGGTGAATTGGCAAGGTCAGAGTTATAGTTTCTCCACAGTTGAAAGTGTGGAGTTTGTTCAGTGGTATGCTGCAGTTTGAACTTTGGACTTTCAATATATAGCCTGACCCACTTAAACAAGGAAGAAAAAAAAACCTTCATTTCAGACGGGAAAAAAAGAGGAAACATTTTCAGTGAAGAATTATCATACTAGTTAAATTTGGTGAAAGATGTCGTTTTAAACAATGAAAAGTACTAAGAATGAGACTGTGTGACTATGTAAGAATGTCAAAACAAGATAAAGCATAAAAGAAAATGAACATACCAAATATATGTCTACTGCAATAAATGTCGAAAACTGAGAAAACGAAACTGACAGATTCATGACTAGACCTTATGAAAGTAAAACGGCATGAACTATGCCAACAATTAAAAAATTATAAATTCTGCGAAGTAAGACTCTGGGTTTTTCTACCTAAAAATAAAAAGGTTGAAAACTTTTTTTTTTTTTGATGATGCATGTTCAAGTGTATTTTTAAATTTAAAAAGATTTTTTTAAACATATCTTAAACATAATGTAGTAATTAAGATGGTACAGGTTCTTACCTGAAGGTGAGTGTTCTGAAAGACAGGATTTTCCCACTGTTTAAACTTCAATGCTATATTGTCTGGAGATGACTTACAGTTTTCAACTTTCTCCTTAGTAACTGAGGATAGGTAGAGTAATTATGATATAATAATTCTGTTGAAAAATTACACCCTCACATAAAAAATATATTCTTTTAGCCTTCTAAACATGCTTAAATAGGAAAATTTTACAGGTATAAGATAAAACAGAGTAAAAAAGGTAGGACAGAGATAATGATAACACTTAATCTTTTAATGAAAAATTCCTTAGTTTTATAAATTAATTTACATTGTTTATTATCTTTATCTAACCTCTCCACTTTTTTCCTAGGTCCTCAGTTTGCTGCTGTTCCAGACAGTTATTCAGCATACAATGAATATCGTCCACACTCTTTCCAATCGTGGTCGGCTCCTTTTCTTTCTTTTTTAGAAATGGAGAACTGTTGTGGCTCAGAAAAAAGTGTTGTTTTGACTCTCCTAGCAATAAGTAACAATTAGTGGCACAGAAAGCAGCTTTTAAACCACACTGATTCATAACACAGTCTAATACATTAGTCTGTGTAGAGCATGACAAACTAAAATCAAATTTCATTAGTCTTAAATTGGTTTATTTTACTACTGTTCGAGAGTCTCTAAAGATCTGATATAAAAACAGTATTATAACTACACAAAACCAAAAATCTCTCACTGAAACATTATAGAATGATAATGAAAATAGTTAGTTATTATTCACTCCAATATTAAATTTTCTGTGAAAACACACAAAAGAGAAGAGTTTTTACAATGGTAAATTTTCAACTTTCACTTTTGTGTAGTGATACAAATTAAGAGAAGAAATGATAGCAACCTAATTTTTTAGTGGTTTAAACTAAAAAAAAAAGAACAATAAGCATATTATGATTCTTAAATGTATTTTTTATATTTTTGGGAAAAAATTAGGAATCACTGCAAAATATTTTCCTTTAGATTTGACATGTAATTTATCAAAATTAGGACACTGGAATATTTAATACTTAGTGTCACAAACAAAAGACATCTTTCAATGATGACTTTTGTAGCTAGGGGATGATCTGACGACAAGAAAGTACTGGCCTACAAAGAAATAGAAGGCTCATTTAAAAGTAAGTTAAAAGATTTTCTTTGCTCTAAGATGATAAGGTAGAAAACTGACAAATCTGATGAAAGCATATTTTATACAGAAGTCAATATATGTTTTCCTATTCATATGGCACATAAAGAATCTTCAAAAAACATACGTGGAGGAAACACAAGTTAGCTGAGGAGGCTGAAGTAAATGGGAGACTTCAAAATGGTAATTCTACAAGTATCATGGGGGATACGACTTTCAGAATATATATGCCACTTATAGGCTAAAAAATGGAGTAATTTCTAAAACATTAACGGTGATATAACGGCACGTGGTATATGACACGGTTAACCTCATTACCTGCTCATACCACGCATAGATCTGGGGGTATGAAGAAGCTTATATCTCTACCCCCTCCATAATTCTTCTGCTTATAGAAAATTTCTGAACTAAGTAATACAAACATACATAACTATAATTTGTGCAAATTGGATGAGATAAGATGAGCTAACATCTACTGACATATGACAGATTGATCTTCATATTTATTTTTAATATTTTATAAATATTTTTTAAAGATATATCAGAATTATTTTACTTTTGTGAAAAAAATTTGATTTCATGATTACATGAATGAAATTGAAGTGAAAAATTATATATTTTTTCTTACCATTAAAAAGAGCAACAGTAAAATCTGAGACCCAATGAAAGCAGATTTATCATTTAATGTCTAGACTTCCATTTCCAGCAGTAACAAACAACAATTACTCCTGACAAGGATATCGTTTGAATTCAGATTATATACTCACTGCTTTGATTCTCTTCTACACTCTTTAAAGTTGTTGGGGGGAGGTAAGTGGAATTTCCACACACTTTGTTGATGTATAGTTTCTGACCAGATATAGGATCTACCCAACACAACCACTGGTCACGTTCCATTTCACAACTGTCCACCTCCGAGCATGATTTCTGACCTTCACTCTTCTGGTATATCACAGGCCTGCAGTATGAGGGATGAGCTTCTGTTGTATCAATGCTAGATGTGTCTTTAGAATTTACTGAAGAGTTTTTGAAAAATGACAGCGTGTGTTCACGAGTCTCACTACTACTTAGATTAAGTGATTTTTTTCTCTCTATGTTTTGTTGTAAATGATCTTCCATGAAATTATCAGGATGTTCCCTGGACAAGCTAAATGATAGATTATTATAAAACATGTTTTTTGATGTTCTAACAGATTCAGCATCATGTTGATGACTACTGCATTTCATATTCTCTGTCCTAGACTCAGACATACCAAGTGACTTTAAACTTGGTTCACTGGATGAGGCCCTTGACAATGAGTCTTCTGATATATTTGGTGTTGCATCTTGTTTCTCATAATCACTATAGTAAATTTCATCACTTTGCAGTGTGCAACAAAATTTTGAATATTTTCCACAAGAACAGTCTTCTACACACAGAGGTTCTCTGAACCTTTTAAGTGGTTGACTTTTGGCCCGATATTCACTACTTACGTGGTTAGACTCTTTTCTTTCAGACAACATATCTTCAAGTTCTTGAAAACAGCTGCTTTCTTGCTGATGGTCACTTTGGTAAGCTTCTGATTTATGGTCATCACAAAATTCACTGGGTAAAGTTACTAAAGTATTTGATAGGCTTGGTGCTCCCGAAGATGATGTGATGGATTGCTTAAAACTGTCAGAAGCAGAACTGACTGTAGAGCTTTCCCTACTACTAGAGTCAGGTACAAATTTATATCTTCCTGGAAGTTTCTGAACAAGTAAAACATCTGGTTCATCTACTGCCACTGGTAGTTTTACAGTATCTTGATAAATAATATCATTTTTAGCTTCTACTAAACCTTTACTATACGTTCTGTGTAACTGGTTCCTTCTGTCCTCGTGATTTGTAAGAGTATCAAATTTTTCTGTTAACTCTGAGCAGTTTGGATCAGTTGATTCAAGTGCTCTTTCATCCAAGTTATTACTCAAATGTTCTATACATTTATTATCACAAAAGTTGTGTGTTTCTACAAAATTATAGGAAGCAGGTCTTTCTACTAAATCCTGGAAGTATATGGGATGCATCTTTTCTTGTTGGATGACTTCTGTTGAATCTTTATCTTGAGAATGAAGTGTTAAATGTATTTCACGTGAAAATGGTTCACTCCTACTTACTAAAATATCTACAGTTTTAAAGTTTTGATTAGTTTCTGAGATTTTGTTTGATTTGCTTTCTTGTAAAGACAAAGCTCCATCTGAATTTTTAGTGGTCGAGACTTCAATTTGGTAAACATTTTTTGTGAGTAACGTGTTATCTAGTTTACTGCTGTTTGTGGGTGACAGTTTACTTTGATTGTTATCGAGTGTTGGTGATAATTTAGTCAAATTACCATTACTTGTAAATAATAATCTATCTGAAATAAAACTGTCTAAGAATGATAGTGTATCTGCATTATTGTTGACAGTGGGTGATACTCTGTCTGAAACAGAACTGTCTACAAATGACAGTGTATCTGTAACTCTATCTGAATTGTTATTGCTTGTGATCACTAGCTGATTTGAATGACTCTTATTTGTGGGCAACAGTTTATCTGGATCACTAATGTTTCCTGATGATAATTTATCTGGATTGTTTTTGTCTACAGGTGATAATCTACTACAATCATATATGGCTACTGTTGTTCTCTTATCTTCATAGAACTGATTTGTAATATGAAATGAATGACTGTTGTTTGTCTTTGGCATAATTTCCTCTTCACAGCTCCTTTCTGCATTTGAACTACAGTAATCTTGATTTCGTATGTTTGATTTTGCATGACTTGTTTGTTTTGGCACAGAAGGTTTAGATTTCTGAAGATATACCAAAGGATTTATTGCAGAGTACAATCTAAAATAATGGCTTTTATATTCTAAGTTACTTTTACTTGATGTTTTGATTGAACTTTGCAATTTCCACAAAGATTTGTTTTGATCTTTTTCAAAATCTTGTAGATCACTAAATACATCACATTTTTCATGATGTACAAATACATTGCTAGAACTGTGATACGAATTTTCTAAGCTAGGTCTTTTGTTCAAAATGTAAGCATTTTCTGTTGATCTGTGTTCCTCATTTAAAGATGGCAAAACATTATACCTATCAGAGAACTTTCTAGGAAGTTCAGTGTTTGATTCATACATCTGGGGTTCTAGAGTAGCAGACATAAGATTTTCATTGTTTCCTTGAGATGCTTTACGATTTCCGTTGTTTAAGTTGCTAATTTTAGGTTTATTTTGCTGGTTCAAATAGGTCATGCCTTGGTCGTATGTGGGTGTAGTCATGTATTCACAGTTATCAATGCAAAGTGGTGGCTGATAAGTGAAGGGTAGACCTGTAACTTTCAAAGTAGTAGGTGGCTGAGAACAACATGCCTCTGAATCATTGAAACGTACAGGAGATGACGTTCGAAGGTTTGTTCTAACAGTAGTTTCACGTACTTTTGTTTGAGATGTATCAGCTGACAAACAACTCTTTGACTTATTCATATTCTGAACACAATTCCTATGATCGGCTACAGAACAAACCGCAAATACTTCAGTTCGAATACTTGGGAAGGAAATGCTGCTTTGAATTGATGAGTCTGTGTTAATGATGCAACCATTCTCTTTCAAGTCTTTGTAGGAGGAGATAAAACTGTTCGTGGTAGACCATGCGTGAAGATTGCAACCAGCAGAAGTATTACACGAATAGGGTCTCCTTTGCGTTCTTCTATTAATTAAATCCCATTTACTAACACCTTTCATTTGTTGCATGCTGCTAGAATTTTCAACTTCCATATTATCAAAGTTATTAGTAACATCATCAGGAATGTTCATTGGATTCAATTTCTCACTGCTAATGACTGTAGGGCCATCCTTTGACATGTTTTTCATACTATTTTTAATATTCAATTCACAATTGTTATCCGATACATTATTTGTAATTAAAATTCCACAGTAGTCTTTGTTCCTGTTAACTTTATCAAAACCCTTCTCAGTCAACTCCACATCATTAATATTTGCTACATCCCCCACTGAAACATTGTTTTCCATCGGCTTTGTCACATAACTTCTTCTTTCATAACCTGATCCAGGGTAAGAAATATCTGGTTTCCTTTCAATTTTAAAATACTTGTTGAAAAGTTTTTCTGAGTTACTTTTCTCAGCCATTATAGTACCATCTCTTATGGCTGAGGAACTCTGAACAATACTATTAGGTACAAAATTCTCTTGTATTCTTTGCGTAGTTTTACGGGAACAAAATTTAAATTGTTCTTTGAGCTGTGTGAGCTTTTTATCTTTATTCTTCCTTCTGGAAAGCATGCTAAGGGAGCTACAAAAACCTGATGATTTCAGTGTTATTGGTTTTCTCATTGGAAAAATTTCTTTGTTATTGTTACGCATTGAACAATCCCTGGAAAGTTCACCATTTAGACAAGTATTTACAAACTTCTGATCTCCATTATGTTGGGTTTTCAGGGTCTGTAGGGAAGATAAATGATTCTTTAGTTCATTAGTATAAGTTAAAAACAATTTCCTTCTGTTCTTATTCCCCTCCTGTTGGATTTCTGGAGTTTTGATAACAGAAGGCCCTATGTCACAATTTTTTAAAATGTTTTTATCTGACATAGCTGGATGGGCCTGATCAGGATACTCCTGTAAGTGTATGGTTTGGGATTGATTAGGAAACTCTTCTACACATATAGGGTCAGCCTGGAAAAGACCCTTTTCCAGAGTGTTTGGTAAAATTATGTTTTTTTCACTGCTAGAGTCAAAACTGGGATTCTTATTCGAAAAAGTGGGCTGAAAATGTTCATTATTTCTTACAAAAGAGTAAGATTCATTCTCATCACCACCCGTTTCTGATATTTTTTCTCTCTGAAGACGCTTGGCTTTCATAGAGAAAAGTGCAGCTTTCATGTTATCAGTTGTAAACTCACAACAGTGGGCAACTACCTGGTTTTTAGTCAGCATTTTTTGTTGACCTCGATGACCACTTTTGGTAAACTCATTATCTCTTGACTGGTGTGTTGTGATATTATCGTGAAGATGAGGACTGGGAGATAAGTTATTATTCTTCAGAAACCCAGAAACTGCTTCAAATATGCATGAAGCAACTGTGTCCCAGTGACAGAACTCTACAAGTGTTTTTCTGGGTTCAAAACTAATGTCGTACATCCCAAAAGGACAACTTAAGTTCAACATATAAACACTCTGAAGATCATAGTTTCTTGTAGCTTTCGACATTGCTGATGTCGAGACTGTAGGAGAAGAGAAATCTTTTTGTCTACAGATGTTCTTGCTGAACAGTGTGTTTAATTCTTTGTGAATCTTGCTTTTCAAGACAAGTCTTTTGTTAACATAGACAAACTGAAGGTCTTTCGAAAGTTGTCCCTTTGTACTGATGAAACCCTCAATTTTGTAGTCACCTGATATATGGCTAATTTCTCTCAGATGTTTAGCTTTTGACTCGCCAAACAAATACTGAAACGTTTTCAACACAGACTGACATTTATGAGTCTGAAGACATATTTCTCCTGTAACATCATTACGTAATGAAAAAGACACTTGGGGATGAATCAGTGCAATAGCGGCTAGTGTCTGCCGACAGGAACCAAACTCTAATGCTTCCGATATGCACTTCCTACGAACTGGCTGATTATACATAAAATCTGAAACAGACACTGTTGTACCGATACTAGGCCGTTGTTGGCACGACTTAAAAACTTTAGTTGGATGACCATGGTTGAAAAGTTTAGTGTATGTCTGAGTATTCTGGGAGCAACTTGTGATTTCTAAGAATCCCGAGAGATTCTGCAAACTTGAAAGAGCTTCTCCACGATAACCATAAAACCTTGACTTGTTAAGGTCCTCTATCGTATGACACTTGCTAGTTGTGTATCTGAAATAAGAAACAGTTCAAGGTTAAGTAGATGTACGAAACTATTTCTGTCATCTTGTATCACCACTTCGAAAATAAAGTTATTCCCAGAAATAATTAAGAAAAAAAGGTAATGAAAGATCAAAAGGAGACAAATGAACAACTACTATAGTAAAAAATCCACTTCTGCATTGACTACATACAATATGAATCACTTGAGAGATCAGAGGAACCTATTAGAACTTATGTGATATAGTTTCATAATTCTATATGGCCTAATACTATGGATTGAATCTTACCTTGCACTATTTACATCTAATACTTTATTTTGTAAATTCTGACTGCTAAATTTAGGTTTATATGTTGAGTCATGTTTGTTCTTACCGTTCTCCAATTAATTCCAGTTGCTCTGGAGGAATCACTTGAGAGATCAGAGGAACCTATTAGAACTTATGTGATATAGTTTCATAATTCTATATGGCCTAATACTATGGATTGAATCTTACCTTGCACTATTTACATCTAATACTTTATTTTGTAAATTTTGACTGCTAAATTTAGGTTTATATGTTGAGTCATGTTTGTTCTTACCGTTCTCCAATTAATTCCAGTTGCTCTGGAGGAATCCCACGTCCATTGTCCACTACTTGGACTTTGAAATAAGGCAAGTCCAGTCGGACAGCGACACAGGTAGCACCAGCATCCAAAGAATTCAGCACAAGTTCCTCCACACAGTGACACACGCTTGTGACAGCCACGTCTGAACGAAGCTTGCTGATAACTTCAGCTGGCAAAGTCTGCACGCTCATCTGGGAAAATTAAAATAAGAACATCAAAATACAGGGAAGAAAATTATATGAGTTATGAACAGAGAAACTTTATTGTCTGAAGACCTATGGCTTGCCACCATTAAAACACGATTACAGAACCTAAAATATTTCACTCCTTTTCATACATGTAATGACTTAGAAAACTTTAAACTTATCGTAAAAGTTTAACGAGCTTATCTAGATTAAACAATAACTTTTCCACCACATCCTATCCATTTCTATTAGAGAATATTAAGGCAACATACATGCACACTACTTAACATGTGAACTTCTATCCTAAGATAGAACCATATTAATGCTGATAGACTCCTACAAGACACCACTACACATTACAAATTCGATTTTGATGACGAGGAACCCACTTTGAGACTAATAATGGTTGGAGATGACTTGAATGGGTAGTGAAGAAAAACTTTAATATAAGTTTAACATAACAGCAAATGTACGACTTTTTGACAAGGTTTTGTCATCAACAGGTACCATTGTATTATATGTTAAGCTCACTTAAATATACACAGTTAAAATTGCCCATCCTATTCTTTATGTAACATCAGCAAACCTTCGATCGACTTCTAGGTCTGACGTGCAAGTTTTCATAAGCTCAGCATATATAGTGTTCATTCTCTAACATAGAAACTGGTTACTCTCTAATAAAACATAAATTATTTTTCAATCAGCATAAAGCTTTCTCACCTTATTCTATTTGCAGGTAAAATTTTGATGGCTATTAATAAATTTAAAATCCTAAAAACCTCTCATAGATGAAAATCATTGATGTAGTCATTTTGCTCTCTCTCTCTGGAAGTATGTAATTCCTTATTACTTGTTCTATGCTAGTGAAGTTAGTTTTACCTTTGTTCAAGTTAGTGGCCAGTCACGATTCTATACCCTTACTCATGATCCTCTTGGTGCTGATATCCATCCGAGTATCAGATGAAGTTGTCCAACACAAATCATGGCTGGAGAGAAACAAGAATCATAGATATGAGAATTAAATACCTGTTTCAAACACATTTTACAACTACTTTGTATTATTTAAATAAAGTTTAACTTTGACATCATAAAATGTTACAATACCCACAAGGAAAAAGGTGACAAATTGGGAATGAAAGAGCCTAAAAACCAAAACTAGATGGATAACTAGTGAAACATCAGGGATCATCCCAGCCTACGTAGGTATTGCAAATGGAGCCAGGAGGATGCACCTAATAAAAGTTTTGGATGAACTACTTCAATTGGAGGATAAAAATAAAGAACAGACAAAATTCACCTGATTACATAAACTCATAACCATGAGCAACACAAATTAGTTCAATCAGAGGTCAGAGGAAACAAAAAAAAGGGAGACATTATAACATAATGAAGGAAAATAGAGAGATCTCCAAGTCTAATGCTGGCAAAGAATGTAAGAACAAGTAGAATTGAAAAGAAAAAGGAGCTAACCAATCGGAAAGATGAGAACAAATGACATAACCAAAGCAAAGGTTAGAAGTTTGTAACAAAGTCCTTCAAGTCACAAATCATATGGGAAAAAAACCCACTATATAATAGGAACAATGACAGACAAATAAGATAGGAAACAAGAACCTACCGTAGTGAAGCAAAATCACAGACTGATGAACAGAAAGCCACTAAACCATCTAGCTGAACATCACAGCAGAGAAAAAGAACAGGTGAGGTGACAGTGGGCTATTCAGCCCAATGAGGTTAACCTAAAACCCAAGGCAGAAAAAAACATATGTTTTTAACCTAATTTAAATCAGATTATTATATCTCAAATCCATTATCTTGTACATATTATAATTACATGTCATTTGTCAAATATCTGATCCACTAACCAAGTGATCCAAGTCATTCCATAGTACCTCAATACCCAAACATTATCAATTAAGTAATTATGTCCCTATCATATCGTTACTGCAAGTGAGAAAAAGCAAAGGTCCAAGTACAAACTCTTGAGGTACTCCGCTAGTAACAAGTATTCAGTCTGATTGTGTTGTATTAATAAAACGTTTTTGCTTCCTCTCAACCAATATCTGACAGTCAAATTTGATATATTTTTATCGACACCCACTGATGTGACTCTTCTTAGCTTTGGTGTGGCAAAAGCTTTTTGAAAAAGCTAAGAACATCCAATCCACACTCTTTTTATCATTTAGATAACATGCAACATCCTCAAAAAAAAAGATTTAACAGATTAATAAGACAAGATTTCCTTTAGTGAATTCATGTTGATATTTTTTATATTTCACAAGATTATTTTGCAAAGCTTCTTACATTTCACTCTTTAGAATTTTTCTCAGTATAGAATTACAACTAACTGGCTTATAATTTCCAGTAAGTCTTATCACCCCCTTTAAAAATATGAGTAATTATTAGCAACTCTCCAATCCTCAGACACTTACTCATTGTTTATTGACCTATAAAAAAATAAAAAAGTTCACATATCTTATAGCTGACCTTCTTTAAAATTTCTGTGGGGTCCTGATGCTTTGTAAGTTTTATAATATCAAGTACACTTAAGGGTAGGTGTAATAAAGATTAGGTTAAAAGGAAAGTGTAAAGAGTATAAGAAATATTGTTTTAGATCACAGGTTAAGCAGCAACCACAGGAGGCAACGAGGTCCAGAAACTATGAGAAACGGTTATACAATGAAGGTAATGTCCTGTGTGGTACACACACATTCTAGTCTGGGAAATACCTTTTGAAACTTTGACAAGCTACAACAAGTACTACAAGATGGATAAACTCTGTAACACAACAAAAACTGGTAGAGAGCAGTATGAGTCACACAATATTCCTCTCACATCTGAGAACAAAGCTAGCCACTCATTGTTTCAGTTGACAAGCATGAGAGCAAACAACAAAAACAACTGGAGTTGTATTGAGCCCTGAATGTGAAAAGTGAGATTATGTTTGGATAAATACATATGTATACCATGATAATTATCTGAAAAATGAGTTATGGGGAGACTGGTGGGGTAAATCTGGCCAGATGTATGATTTTTTTTTATTGGTGTTGCTTGTAGCTTTGGTTAGTTTAAAGAAAACTTTACTCCTAATTACTTTCTTAGTAAAAATTAATCATTGTAAGGGTGGCTGACTAGCTGGTACCTTGCCATCGTGTATTTAAAATGAGTAGCATTAATCACTACATTCATTTTGTAACTTCACTATAAATGTCAAAATATTACTGCTGCTGAATGACAAAGATCTGTACAATAAGCAGAGCAGCTTTTGTTAGTTGAAGTACCAATAATTGAAGTGGACCTTAATGTTTTGAAGGTATCAGTATTACTTTTCTGAATTTTACAATTAAAGCTTTGTGTGGTTTCACCCATCCATATTACCCAAAGTATGTAAATCCTTCTATAAATTATGAAATATATATAAACTACTAAACATTAATAAATAGAATAACACCATCAAAGCTTGAATTTTTTACAACTTATTTTTTTTTCAGGCTATTAATATAGTAACACACATATAACTATACTAATACAGGGTGGTCCAAAATTAGTTTCCTATTTAATAAGTAACTAACTAAGGAAATACAATAATGTAGTTTTCAACATTTTGTAGTCCAACTTAAACAGTTTATATTAACACGTCAGTTGACTCCTACGTGTGTACCATTAGTGGCTCTCAGGACATCTAACCCATATTCGATTTCAGTCCACATTCGCTGCAACATGCACACAGTTACAGTGGTGATGGTGTCAATTATCCTGGTCTTTATATCCGTGATGTTTGCTATAGGTGTGTAACATGATATCTTTAACATACCCCCACACTTCTTTCCTGTACAGGCATCTGTTATTATGCTGCACTATAGTCACTGTCTTGGTCTCTGTAAGCCAAACAATGAACTGAGCCTATTCTTGCAATGTTTGCCATTTTACAGGGATATACTACTCACTGGAGTGAAAACAAAAACATGACAAGAAAAACTGTTTGAGTTGGGCTACAATTTACAAGATGTTGAAAACTGCATTTTTGTATTTCCTTAGTTATTTCATTATTAAATTTTAAAATATGAAAGATAATTTTGGACCACCCTGTATTACTGTACAGAACTACTAATACTAGTTACCACTTTATCTGTCCAACTGTAAAGTTAAAAATTAATAAAAGAAAGTAATAGGATCATTCAAACTTCAATAAACATTTGTATAACAATTTTACATTCCAAATTTCCATCTCACTTTGGTTTAGTTGCTTATGTATACTAACGTGCAAGACTGAATATAATTAAAAATCCTGCCTTCTTTCCTACTATAAGGTCGAGTTTACCTGTTCTGCTAAGTTATACAATACTATTAATATTACTAAGAGTAACAGTAATACTACTAGTTATGTTTACTGTTAGTTAAGCCTGAAATTATTTAATAACATTTATGTGTAGCTTCTCGTTATGTTAACCATAGGCCTAAGCTTATAAGTTGTTCGAACTTCGTTACTGAAACACTGATTGAAATATGTCTATTTTTCTTACATCTTTCGCAAATCATACTAATTGAGTAATTCATTTTATTAATATTATACTGTGGACCAAACTTCCATAACGTTTAGAAGAAGAACTCACAATTCTAAAACAAAAGTTATTACGCGCCATCTATTATTCATAATGACAGACAATATATACTTTTGACTTCCGACAAAGTTTCCTCAGAAAAGTTTATATGCTTTGGATAATAATGCAATGCTATAAAGGTGTGCTACCCGTCCCCAATTTTGAATTGATGTATTATAGGGAAGACAATTTATCAAGAGCATCCATCGCTAAATCTTGATCTACTTTAATAATGCTCACACGACTCTGTAGTATTCAGGTGTTGTAAGCTATATATTTTTTAATGTTTTAATTTAGTTGTGTGTTTGTTAGAGAACACATGTCACTATTTAACGCTCTTCTTTATGTCAGCATTACACGGTAGTTCCTCTCTGATCTACTGAAGTAGGCCACCACATGTTCGTTTTCGCCCACTTTCTGAGACAAAACTCCCCCAATTCTGACATTACTAGCATCACAATCCAGTATGTACGGCAGTGAGGGACCTGGAAGCTTTAAAAGTGGAGCTGAGGCCAATTTTTCTTTCAATGTCTTGAAAGAATGCTGGCAAGAAACTGTCCATTCAAACTTCTGGCCTTTTTTAATCAAATCACGTAGTAGAGCAGCTATAGTTGCAAAGTCCTTCACAAACTTTCGGTAATAGGTACAGAGTCCCAAGAAACTTCTTAACTCTCCCACATTGTCTGGTGTTGGCCAATCACGCACTGCTTTCATCTTGTCAGGATCAGTTTGCACACCATGCTCACTTACAACGTGACCTAAGTAAAGCACCTCTTTCTGGAACAAGTAGCATTTCTTGGGATGGAG